TTAGCATACATTGTGCTAATACATGTTGTGCTCATACGTTAGCATACATTGTGCTAATACATATTGTGCTCATACGTTAGCATACATTGTGCTAATACATGTTGTGCTCATCTGAGTCTCCAAATTAGTTTTCTTTACCCTTCTTTCATGTCAAACTATGTGTAGTTTATGTTGCTGTTAAACTGCATTATATCAGATAGAGCGGTGATCCTATTATTTAGCCTGATATCAAACTGGGTTGACATATGAGCAATCCTCATGTGTGTCCTGCTGCTGCTTGCTAACGTCTCATGTTGTGGATAAATCTGTGCTGGCGTTCTGAAAGTTGCTGTTAACATTTTTCTGCTTATTTATTTCAGCAAACCTGTCAGTGTCTAAACTTCAGCTGTTGTCCGTCCCGTCAGCCTACATGTTTGTTTGGGCCGTGTGTTTGTGTGAAGAAAGCAGCCTTGTCACACACAGGCATTGTGTCACTGCTACACTGACATTGCTGAATCACTTCAGCAGAAATCTGTTTTGTTTTGTTTGTTTGTTCTTTTACTTTTTCACACTTTTCAATGTTGTCTCTCTCCCGTTTCCCTCCGCTGCTTCAGGGGCCTGTTTGGGTAAGACCTCTTGCGTAACTCCCCATCCTCCAGCCATTTTATTCAGTATCCATCTGTAGACCTGCGCACAGCAGGCAGCCGCATTTTCACCGACACAGCTGACCTTCAGCAACATGAGTAGAGGACTGCATTTGTAGGTTTAATTCCTTAAATGCATGAACGCCAGCCTTCGCTTCATTTTCCTAATCAAACAAACTTTGCAGCTACATTTATGTTCAGGGCTTTAACATATTGAACTCAGTTACAATATGTTGTACAGCCAAATGTATTTTTTTTAGGGTTATTACAAACAGAAACGTTAATGGCTACAAACTGTTTCGGTCCATTTAACAGTCAGAACAGCTGCCATCTAAATACAGCAGATGAGTATTTGTGCTATAAACTAATTAACTTCTTGGAAATTTTATAATCATCATCTCCGGCCAAAAATAATTTAGATTTCTGTACATTGGTGCTTGTAATTGTAATCAACAGCAACCCATGCTTGTCATAACTAAACTAAAGAGCCACCAAAGTCTTAGTCTAGTCTTTTAAACCCAATCCTATCACTGCCTATCTCAATGTCACTGTTGTCCGCCTCCTAAATCTTTTTGTCCTTTTCTTGCTTGTTCTTCGTCCACCTGTGCCCGTCTTTCCATCGTCTCGACTCTTTTGTTCCGTCGTGTCGGTGCAGTGGCTGTCAGCTGGGTGATCCAAAGATTACAGAGGCTTTGCTACAGCAGCGTGCAGCTGTGTTAGTGGAAGCCCTGCATTACTGCACCGTGTTCCGTACATGCTGTACAGACACTCACACCTAGAGGGAAGCTGCGATTAGTATGCAGGCAGACTGGGGTGAACTCTCGCTGTCAGACACTACAGTTTCTCAAAGTCAGAAAGATCCATTTGTCGTCTGCAGGATGTTCAATCCCTGCTTTGTTTCTTATTTTTAGCATGCGGCATTTTAAAATTTGCTGCTTTCAATCGAAGCTTCCACAGCTGCGTGCAAAGGCTTTCTTCAAAGCTTCAGATGACACGTTTTTCATTTGAGGTAGGTTTTTGGAGGCTAAATCCGAACACCCGACCTCTGTTTTAGTGTCTGAAGAGTTACCATCTCCATCACATGCTTCCCAATCAAGAGAGGCCAGATTGAGGTTGTTAATATAAAGGTTAAAGCTCGCATATCCCAGAGTGTAGCTGAGGAGCAAAGTGTAAAGTCTCTCAGACTCAGTGCAGGGTTGCAATCTGTCCAACCCAACACACACAGGAGGAATTAAAGAAGCTAAATCCATACACTTGTCTGCAAAAGCAGAGCGACCTACACACATGCAAAGTAACGGTAATTATATAATTGACTAAAAAATCCCCACGACTTTCAAATGTGCTCCTCTGAAATGTTCCTATCTGTGCCAGCTATCTGTCATTGTTCTCTCTGTGCGTGTGCGCGTTTTACCATTTGCTGTGTGTCTCTCGCTCTCCGTGAATGCTCCTTATCAGTTCCTGCCATTCATAAAATCTCCTCGTGGACGAATGTCAGCATTGTGACTGCTGCATATTAAAAGACACATATAATGATATTGATGTTTTGTGTTTTCATTTTGCAAGAGTAAACATTTTGATTAAATCTCTGTTTTATTCCACAGTGTTATGAGTTGTGATTTTTTTTTTTTTTTAATATATCCTGAAGACGATGGGGAATGCACTAGTACCTATGCTTACAACTCATAACATTTTTTTATGCCTGCTGAGCATCATAAAACTTTACTTTTATTATAATTATATTTTAATTATAGTTTTGTCTTTAATGGAATAAGTCTAATTTTATGTTTCTCTCTTTTCCTCCCCTTCGTTTAATTTCCTCCTCCCTTCACTACCTTTTTCTCCCACTCTGCACCGCTCCTGAATTTTGTCTCCAGTGATGGCGGCTTAGTTCAGTCTCAAGATGACAGCATTGTGGGTACAAAGCAGTGCCGTCACAGCGTGGCCATCATGCCCATTCCTGGCAACCTATCATCAAGTAGCCCAGACCTGCTGCAGCCAGCAAGCAGCGTCCTGGACTTCTCCATCCCTGCAGGTAAGAAAAACACGGTAAATGCCCATCACAGCTAACAGACAAGTTTGCTTGTTCATCTGAAAAAAAATAATCCTTAGCAAAATGTTTTTCCTGGGATTTTCTAGGTGTTTATGAAACAGTTTTCCCACCATTCACATTTAGCTGTAATAGTCTCCAGCTGTGAGCGGTTCCTCTAAATGCTTTATGCAACTCATAAAGTAATGAAGACACCACATACTCAAATGAGTGCGTAATTTGGCACCGGGGCTAACTTTTTCTTTTACTATCCAGTGATGGATTATTACTGACAAGTCAGTTTCACTCACTTTTTGTTTTGATTTACAGTTTATATCAAAGTTCTGTTGTGTTGTAAAAGTTCTGCTTTTCTCATCTTTCTCAACAAAAGCTTAAATGAAAGGAGCGATGGCCATAATGTGGAGAGAAACAAAAAAGAGCCATCTTTCATAACAAGCTTTCTGTATTGTCTCTGATTTAAAGCTGTGGGAGGGCGTGCCGTCCTACTAAATTTATTTGATGATGTGCGTATATCTCGAGGAAAAACATGTCTGGCCGTTCACTTAAAGTGAAACAGAAAAGTTGACGTCTTGCTACAAAACTTTAACTCATAAAAGAAAAATATCGTCATATATTTGCAGCCTGAGACGCCACTTAGAATTTCAGTTGTCTCGGCCGGAGTTCACGGCTGCTCGTATGAGGAGGCTTGACCTGTGACCCTGGCCTTTTTGAACAGTATAAGCCGCTTGTGGAGTTGAAGGACTTGCTGAGTACTGAGCAAACAGCCTGTCACCTTTTAACGCATCAAGCATCCATCTGCCAACTGTAGTGTTGTCGAGTGCACTTTGGGGGTGGGTTCATTTTAAGCCTTTCCTCTTATTTGTTCACCTTGAGAAACAAGCAAACTCCTCAAAACACTTTCTTGTGCTGACAAAGGAGTTTTAAAGCAAACGCACACATCCTGAGTTGCACAGAGATGCACATGCAGAAATGTGGCTGTTTGACAAGACCTGACCTCGGCTTGACTCAGACGAGTTCCTGAGCCCATAATTATTTAAACTAACACGCAGCATTCATTCCCCATGGATTTGTGTGTTATTTATGTGTACATTCAGTGAAAGATCGAAGGGGAAAGCGGAAAGAGGCCGAGACAGAATATGGTCTTGATTTATTCCACTAGCCATTTGTCAGTGAGCCGCACACACTCGGACAGACGCACGTGCACACGCGCTGTAGTTTGCAGACCTATACATCACATGTGGTTGTGTTATACTAGAGTACAAACACACAACTGTGCCACATTAATCATCCGCCATTAGATCAAATTTCCTTCGGTCCTGCGGCCTCCCATTAGCTCTAATCGTAGAATGAAGAACAGCTTGCAGAAATAAAAACCTCCTTTTCCAGATGCTCTGCAGAGCTTGTAATACCCCCAACAATGCCCTGCCTATGCACTAATATTTCTTTCCCAGAGTCCATACTGGGCAGTAGGTCTAATGGAAAGTGCTGGCTGCCAATGTTTCGGAAAATTTGTAATTTTTTTTCATGTGTTTTGTCTCATTAACTTTCAGATTGGTTTTCATTTTGATGGTTTTAGACTTTTCTTGGCTTATTTTATAGCACCATTTAAGTTGCACTTATAGAATTTCTTTACTAGAAATGTTTCTTTGTAATAGAAAAGCTATTTTAAATTCATTTTGTGCCATTTTGCCCCGTAAGTCACCGCCCAGTTTTATCTGATAGGCTTTTTGGGGTTTAAAACAAATATCATTATTAATAATCAACGCTTAGTTAGTGAACAAAAGCAGGCAATAATCATAATGGAGATGAACTACAGCCCTGCTTTTACCAGGTATTTGTTTAACGTTTGCCACACTTTATGTTGCCCTTACATTCCTGCTTCAGCCATCACAGGCTGAATCGGTTAGAGAGGCAGAGCCCGAATTGCTTTAGAGGTAGAGTACGAGTGTTTTCTCTGGAGGCTGCTGCTTATGTCTTGTCTCATTTCGCAAAGTGGCATTGTGTCTGCGTGTCTGATGTACAACTCTGCGTGAAGCTAAACCCACAGATGCTCACTCGCTTCTGTGTCTTTTTGCCGCTCTCGCTCTCTCTTTTTCTTTTTTTCCCTCCACTTCTTCAGTCCTTTACTGTCTCTCTCTCCTCTCGCGTGTCTCTTGCTGTGATTTTAAACAGATGTTCTGGTGTCGACATGTTGAGTCATACTCTGCCTCTCTGGTTTCCCATAAGCAGATTCAGGATACACTAGAAACTCAGCTGGTCTTCCCTCCTTTTCTTTTTTCTTTTTTTCTCCTTCATCTGTCATAATGTTTCCAACTGCTGTGTCTCTTTGTGCTCCTCCCACACTCTCTTGTGCTTGTAATTACTTGTGTTTTCTCTTTTTCCTCTCTGCTTGCCAAGCTTTGGGACTCTACTGTAAGTATAAGGATTTTTCATTGCCACTGTTGGATAGCCCAACACACACACACACACACACGTCTTTGTATCCATGAATGGAGCTCTTCAGGCTCTGGACCCCGTTGCGTGTTGCTGCTTCTTCTTCTATTGGTTTGTTGTTGTGAAACCTTCCGAGTGTTTGAGGAAGGACACGTCAGTCTGTTTTTAAGCAGTTACCTTTGGGGTGAAGGACGCATGTTCGTAAGATTGATTTTTCTGTTTGTAAACACGGATACTGATATTCACCTTAATGAGAAATGCTGGCCCCAGTTGACAGAGCTCTTGGTTTAAATCCAAAACCAAATAGTCATATTGTTGAACAGCAAAAAATAAAAGAGGTGTATGATTGGGAGGATATTTGGGCATAAAACAGTTGTGTTTGACCTTAGCTAGTCTGCTCTCCTCTCAGGAACCTGAGCAATCTTGGCAAATTTTCTCCTGCTATCTTGTGATTTATGACTTCCGACTGTATGATGGAGGGACTTGGAAAAGCTTTGGCAAACAGTAGAAAGGAGGCTGAAGAGGAGGAGGAGGAGCACTTGTGGGAAGTGTGCAGCCTTTGTTAGTGCTGTGTTTGCAAAATCCCACGCCTTTCCTTCTTGTGTAGAAAGCCTCTTTGGCTTCTTGCTGTTTATGTAAATGAACAATACTTTATTAAAGATGGTAATTGATTGGATGTCCGGCCGGGTGGGCACTATTGTCCTCCTGTGTGGCAGTCCAGGTCATAGCTCATCAAGAGGATTAAACACGATTAGGCCCCCTGGATATGATAGCCAGCAATTTATCTGAAGGCTTTCCACACTCTAATCACAAATTACAGCTAATGAGACACAAAGCATTTAGCCTCCAGTCAGCCTTCTCTCAACACCCTGCTGCACATAAACAGAGAAGCTCTCTTCTGCTGCAGCACCACAGAGGGAGGAGGAAAGGCTGCACTTTAAAACTCTCTAATGCGGTCTTTGCCAGCAGAGCGTCAGCGTACATAGCTCCATCTTCAGCATAAAAGTCAGCAATCATCTGAATGAGTATAAAAGTGTCTATGTATGTGTTTGCACTTAATGAACACACAGTCAGTAAAGAGGTCAAGAAGGGGGGCTAACATCAGAACATTAATATTTCAATACGGTTCAATGGAAAATAACAACAACAACAAAAGCTGGCTAAAAATCTGTGAAACAGTGCAGGGAAACATCTGGAACCTGTTTTCAAATTAAGCAATGATTCATGAATAGACTATAAATAAGCACTCGATGTCCACAAGTAACACTCGGTGGCAGGTACAGTTCAGCCGAATCAGCAAGTAGAAATGACAGGAAATAGAAAAGAATTGGTCGCTTTTAGAAACAAAAGTGGTGACAAAAGACAAAACAAACAAAAAAGAAAAATGACTTATGCTTATCAAAATGCTGCGCATAAATTAAACTTAAAAAGCGGAAACTGAGTCCCTCAGCGTAAACCCACCGTGACTGCGACCACAGCATTGCATCAGATGCATACAGAGAACTGACTTTTTATGTTGAATTTGCAGCTCTGAATCCAAAGTACGCACACTGACCAGTGTACAGATAACAGCTTTCGCCATTCACACACACTCGCAGCCACAGACCGATCAGATATCCATGCAAATAAGGGCAGGCTTTGTGTTTTGCCCTGTACCTGCTTGATAAACAAAAAGAAGCCGGTGTGTGTCTGTGTATGTGTGCATGAGAAAGTCATAAAGTCATCCCGTCTGTTTCCAGCAAGGTAAAACGAAAAGATTGCGTGAACCCGCACACGCTGAGGTTCATGTTGCAGCTGTGTGATAGCTTCATCTGGTTGTCGGACTCTGTTGTCACTGTGCAGCGTTCATAATTCATTCTTTTAAAGCTCTTTACCCGCCTGTGGCTAATGGGCCGTACCCTCTTCCTTACTCAAACACAGGGATCTTTAATGCAGGATTTCACTCAGGGGGAACATTTCCATTATTTAACACACACAGCACGCCATGTAAGTCGCGTGCAGCCTCGGGAATCTGTTGCAATCACCAACATTCAAAGCCTTTATAATGGACTATTTAACAACAAATAACAGACGCGGAAGTGGCTTCATCCTTTACTTCACGTAAGATGTTTCTATAAAACATTTAGGTTTAAATAATAAATTACTGGATTTTCAGTCGTATGCTTTTACATCAGCAGTGATCTAATATTACAGAGTTCCGTCATGCTGTGGGAAATAGAGTGCTAAGGTGAACACGCTTAACCCAGAAAATATGACAATATTATGCTAAGAACAAACTTACAAGCAGGACACACCACAGAGATAAATTTAGAGATGATTCAAGATGAATATGTGCATATCCAAGGTCAATGCAGGGCTGCCGGAGCCCAATATATCTGCCAAGAAGTGAAAGTCTCCTACTTGCATTTCTGCTGCCCTTGCATGCATGTTTTTCCATATGCATTGTCCTCTTCTTTTTATTCCCGTCTGTTGTTCACTTTTTAAGTGTTATTTAAGGCTATATTTCAAATAGACTGTAGTCTACATGTTTTAAAGACAGCATGTGACTTTGTTGATCCAGTTTGTAGATATGCAAATCTCTTATGTTATTAGTTTTTGATGAACAGAGTCAGAATAAATGTGTTATGTGCTAACGTATCTGCCTTTGTGCACTGTCAGAGAGCCCTGTGACATACTGCAACATTAAAAGCACAGTCACATCAACCCTTATCCCTTTTAGATTTCACCACAATGGGTTTTTCATCCGGTCTTCCTCCCCTCACCACCAACAGGCTGCAGCAGATGGCTGTCCCTGTCTGTTTTGATCTGCTGGAGGCTTCTTCCTGTTAAAAGGGAGTTTTTCCTTCCCACTGTTGTCAAGTGCTTGTTCATAGAAGAACATTGTATTGTAATGTTCATGCTCCTTGACTGGCGAATGTTGTTGTGATTTGGGGAGATACATAAAATTGAATTCAGATTTTACACTCAAGGTGTTTAGGCAGAAGAGTTGGTCTCTTTTGGAAGTTTCTTGCAGAGTCTTTCCAACTTAAACTTGTTAATAATCAAAGTAATTTCCTGCCTTTACTGGCCAAGCCGACTTTTTCCAAAACATCACACAATTCGTCTGTTTCCTTTCTCTTCCACTCTTAGACATCCCAGACCAGGTAATTCGAGTGTTCAAGGCCGACCAGCAGAGCTGCTACATAATCATCAGTAAGGACACTACTGCCAAGGATGTCGTCGCGCACACTGTCAATGAGTTTGGACTCGTCGCGGCACCCGAGACCTACTCCCTGTGCGAGGTATCGATTAGCCCAGAGGGAGTCATAAAACAGCGCCGTCTGCCTGATCAGCTCTCTAAACTGGCTGATCGAATTCAGCTTAATGGAAGGTAAGAATCACGACTGTTACACTGGTGTTGATTGTTGTGGAAAAATCTAATACTCGCGCTGCATTTGTGTTTCATGACCCGTTTGACCCATCCCATCTTACATAATGGTTATCAGTGGTATTTTCTTATACATAACTTCAGCAGCTGAGTGTTTTTCTCTCTCTGCAACATGAAGTACACAAACACAACCCAGAATAAAGCCGGAAACAACACTTGCAGGTCCAGGAAGTTTGTTGTTGTCAAAAACAAAAAGGATATCCACTTAAATCTTGAATTATCCAGCCTGTATTAATAGGACTCAAAACCCAGAATGCTGAAACTGAGGAATTTCTGGTTTCCAGTTTGTGAATGTTCACACATTTCTCACTGTTTTTTACAGCTGCACCAATTATTATCCTCTTTAAATTAATAATTTCTAGGCTTGCTAAGTACAACGATTTAATCCATCGAGTGTCACGTTTTCCAAATGAGCACTGAGAAAAGCTTGAATGTTCTACTAAAGCAATACTTCTCAGTCCTGCTCTTGGGGATACTGGGTAGTATTTTTGTGATGTAGTTAATTCACTTAACACGGCCTGGCATGGATGACTTGAACAACAGTTTCAACAGTAGTGATGTGCAACACACCCAAAGAGTCGAGGCTTTTCCTTTTTCTGGAGAAAATGGCAACTTTTCCACTTATTTGAAGAAGCTTCAACATCATTTTGTGGATGCTGCGTCTTCTTTCTTTTACCGAGTATATTTTTGTGTCTGTGTAGGTTTTTTTCCCCCCCAATTTGTTGTCATTTTGTATCACAGTTCTGTGCTAGTCATTTTCCCTTTTAAGATGAAATTAAGACGTGAAGGATTATTGGACTGCAGCCGTTACGTCTACCCTGAAGCGACTTTCGCCACAGTTTTCTCCCTCTTCTCTACTCGCCTCCTGTGGTCCCTCATTGGTCTCCTCCCAGCTAGCCTAGCATGAATTTTTCATCCTCTGTCAGGGGCGGAGGCATCTGCAGACAGCATGCCGCGGCTGGAATTATTCATACGCACACTCGCACGCACATGCAGACACATAGCAAGATATAGGCACGTAGCTGTGCAGATATAGACCTTTTTTTTACGCTGGTTAAACAGCTGAAATTGAATATATATGTGTGTGTATATAATCTCTTATGCTTTCCTGTTTCTTGAGGAAATCTTTTCCCTGTACTTGCTATTCATGTAATGCTTGGCTGTATTTTTTTCAACCTGTATACATATGTAAGAGGGCAATCGGCAGTCCACATTGCAGTACTTTCTATCTGGAGCAATATCTTCACCCGGGTCCTCTGTCACCATATCTCACCTCCTCCGTCTCTTCCTCTCTGCAGCTGCTGATTGACAGCAGGTCTAAGGGAAGAGGGGGAGGGGGGGCCAACACAAAGCCTTAATCATGCTGCCAAAATATACATATAGATGCGTCGAGGGGATCTTGAGCGCTTAAGCACAGATCGCACACCCAAACACTGCCCGTAGCTGTTTACGATGGCTTGGTTCCAGTGACGTTCCCTCTCCCAGTTCTATTAAGCAGCACTTTGTCCATCATTAATTTAGACTCCTCTCCTCTCTTCCCCTTAAGTACCCTGCTCATCTCCTTCCCCTCACTCCTTTCCTCCCATCTTCTTGTCCCTTTCACATCATTTAGTCCCGCGTCCTCTCCTTCGCTCCTCTCGTCCCTTCTCGTCTCCTTTCATCTGGACTTCCTTTTACTCCTCTCCCTTCGTGTTCCTCTTCCTCTCTCTTCTTTCATCTGCACTCGATCCGACTCCTCTCTCGCTTGATGTCGTCTTTGCTCCTCTAATGCCTCCTTCTGTTTCAGAGACATTACACAAGTGCTTTATCGTATCACCTCCTCTGCGTTTTCAGCGTGTGCAGATTCTCATAAATGATTCGATTCCTAAAATGTCTTGAATCTAAATATGTTTTTCTCTGTCTTCTAAATGTGAAACGGGTCTCATGTTTTATCCTAAATATAAATTCAGCTTGATCTCACAGCCTGTCTGAGCTTGTCTGACAGAGTAATTGAGCGTGGTTTAGAGGTACATCCATGCCAACACTTTACCCCTGAGGGTTGCCCTCTCTTGGCCTATAATGCTCTGATTTGTGGTTCAGCATTCCTAGATGACCACATTACAGCTCCATTAGCGTGAAAGAGTCTCCCAGAAAACATTTAGAGACTAATCTTAAAGAGAAATGGCTCCTGTTTGCTCTTACTCAGGCACCTGTCATTTTTTTTAACCTCTCTTTGCCAAGAGCCCTGCTTTCACTCTTTCTCTCCCCTTCTTTACCTTTAGATATAAAATATGTACAAAATCTGTCAGCAGCATCAGCATCAGAGCTTTTTTTTTGCCTTTTCCTGAAACTAATTTCTGCTCTCAGAGAGAAACTTTGCCCATTTAAAAAATGAAATAAGACTGAAAGGAACATTTAATTTATCAGGTCCAGAAAGTTTTATCAGCCTGGAAAAATGGATCTTATCCACCCACTTGTCTGCCTATATTAAAGCATCTGAGGGAACTGCAGTCTAGTGCATACTATGCTAAGTAAGCTGTCATCAATAAAGTGTTTTGCATCATGCATTTCTAGCACTAAATATAATTACCGTCAGTTAATTTCTCTCCAGGTTTTTAGATTCAGAGGCTGAAACTTAACTCCTCTTTTCTTTTTTTATTTCTCAAGTGTAACGCAGCTTTTAAAATCTGGTGAATTCGTTACGGAAGTCTGGGAACATTAAGAAATATTTTAATAAAATAAGAAAGTTATTCTTAGACTTATCCATCTTCCACCCGCTCCCTCTTCTTTAGGTATTACCTGAAGAACAACATGGAGACGGAGACGTTGTGTTCAGACGAGGACGCCCAGGATCTCCTCAGAGAAAGTCAAATCTCACTTCTGCAGCTGAGCACCATGGAGGTTGCAGCCCAGCTCTCCATGAGAGACTTTGAGCTCTTCAGGAACATCGAGTCCACAGAGTATGTAGATTTTAATTTAGCAGCAGTTCAAAAAAAACAACTGCTGGATGGAATATTGCCTCATCAGAAAAGGTCTTAGTGGAGGGGTGGCTGTCAAGAAGCCATTCGTCTAGAAACGTGGTGGAAGCTCTCTCGTGGCCTGAGGCTTTCAGCCAATGGTGTGGAAATCTTGTTAAAATTGATGGAATTATGAACCCAGAAAGTGCCAGATAGGTGGTTGAAGCATATTACTAGAGGATATCCATATTTTTATGATTGAATATTAGTTACAGTAACAGTTTTTTGACATACCATTTGTTGAGATGATAATATCCTGCCTCTTAACCCAGTTTTGAACCCTTCTGTCACGTGTTTCAGGTACGTGGATGACTTGTTTAAACTAGACTCCTCTGTGGGAAGTGGCAATCTGAAACAGTTTGAGGAGGTGATAAACCAGGAGACCTTCTGGGTGGCCACGGAGATCTTGAAGGAGCCCAACACTCTGAAAAGGATGAAAACCATCAAACACTTCATCAAGATCGCCCTTCACTGCAGAGAGTGCAAGAACTTCAACTCCATGTTCGCTATTATCAGGTTGGTTCAGTGTAGCACCTCCCCTCGACTGTTTGTGTCCTTCATTCTGCATTTACTCCATCTCTGCTGACAGATGAGCTTTGATGGTGGGTCTCCATTCACCACATCGTCAGGAGAACCAGTCTAACCCCCTCCCCTCTTCCCCTTCCGTTCCTTCCTGTAATCAGCCCTGATTCTCCCAGAGCGCACAGAAACTGCACAGCATTTAAAACAAGTCTCACAGCAGTAGTTATGCTTATTGTCTGCTACAATGATTGAGTCCCTGTGGCCTTTGTGGTTTGGCTCTAGCTGAGCTTTTATGGAGTATTAAACATAGCGTCAGTGTATTTTAGTTTAAGGATGCAGGTAAATTTAAATCCGCCAGTATTTTCATGTTTAAGCATCTTGGCTTCTGCACAGAAGCTTGTTTGTGTAGGATTTATCCTTAATGTTTTTAACTAAGATCTAATAAGAACTTTCAGGTTAAAACACAAGCCGAAGGTCCATGAAAATAATGACATTTATTCAAAGAAAATGCAGTCCCACATAATGTGTTTACCCTCTTAAAGATGCACAGGACTGTCTGTTTCCCCATGATCAGAAAATCGCAGTGGTCACCCCAGAGCATTTACTATTGTAGATTTAATTTCCTCCCAGCCCCGGAGGATCTGGTGTCATATGGTTGAAAAATGTGCCCGTTTAACATTCTGCAGCGTTTGTTTCCTGGAACGTTTTGGATTTCTCCGTATTTTTTTCGAATTTCTGAGTTTCATTTTCATGCAGATGACACCATTTGATGCTTAAGCATTTTCAACTCTAAGACCAATTCGTTTTTCAAGATTTCCCAAAATGCTCCTGCTCATTTTAATCTGGTTTTACTCGTCCCCTGTTCAATCCCAAGAGAAGACACGAGCCATTTTGGGGAGTTACATCAAGCATTTATTTTTAAAAATCTGCCAAATCACACATGCAGAGCTACATGATGTGGCAACTCCTTGCAATTAAGGGAGCAGCCGAAAGTAGCTTCCTTTACTAAGATAAGAAAGGAGGCAAAAAAAAGTGGGCATCACGGTGTCTTCACTGTCACACTGTGTCCGAACCGGCAGGTGAAATAACACCTGACCACTCCAAATTCTCACTCCATGTTGGTTTTATAGTCCAAGTCCTTTTTTAGCTTTTAAACTTTCGAACAAGCACACTGCGGTGTGAAACAGTAAACAACGTGATAAATAATAAGAGGAACTGCCTGCATTGTTAATGTGGCATAAATTTAAATATCAGTGCAGGAAGAAGTTGCACTGAGCTCAGTACTGATGTAGATGTCGCATAAATGTGATGACTTGAACTAAATACAGTTTTTTGCTCTGTGTTCCTGTGCTGAGAATAAACGTTAGCAGCCTTCTTATACAGCAGTACGCTGCCTGCTCAGTGTGACGAGCAGCACCCGTGTCCACTCCCTGATCTGGACTCGTGTTAAAAGAGCTCAGCCGTATGGAGACGCTCTGTTTGCCGCTGTAAAAGGCGCTTTAAAGCCCAAGTGCCTGACCTTCTCGCCCCTTTACATTCCTGCTCACAGCAGGGCGTCTGCACACATATGGATGCACAACCTGCCTGCTGACAGGGGCACGGCGGTGGTGGCAGCTGCTGCCATGTACAAATAGCAAAAAAGGGGAAGGTGTTAGACATGCAGGATTGTGAAATATGGAGAGAGCCAAGCCATCTATCCAGTAGTGTGTTGTTTGAATCACATGATCTAGTATGACAAAGAAAACTGCGCCAGCTGCATGAACAAATCAATGTAACAGGAGAGAAGAAAAGAAATGCTGTGTCATTCATTGTTATTAGCTGTCTGCTCAGAGCTGACATCACCTCATGGGGTTTTCAGCTGTGGGAAAAGATGACCCCACTCACTGAAGTTAGTTAGCTCAAAGAGTAGGAACTGTGCAGCATGAAACATTCACATTAAACCTAACCTCCTTTTCTTCTCTACCCTTGTTTCTTCTATTCCTCGTTTCTACCTCTTCCCCCACCCTCTTCTGTCTTCCGTAACCTATTTATCTCTGCCTCGATCCCTCTCTTCCCCCCGCCCTCTTTGCACCTCTTTCCTCTCTCGCGCAGCGGACTGAACCTGGCACCGGTGGCTCGACTGCGGAGTTCCTGGGAAAAATTGCCCAGTAAGTACGAGAAGCTCTTTGGGGACCTGCAAGATCTCTTCGACCCATCCAGGAACATGGCCAAGTACCGAAACGTGCTGAGCAGCCAGAGCATGCAGCCGCCCATCATCCCGCTGTTCCCAGTGGTCAAGAAGGACCTCACCTTCTTACATGAAGGTAGAAGACTTTGTGTGCCTTCTCAGATGATCTACTTGCAATCTCACTCTTGTGTTTCTTAAATACGCTACAAGACTGTTTCCGTTTCTTGAAGTTTAATTTAATCTCCCAGCTTCCTCTGTGTTGTGCCAAAGGTCATGTCACACTCACTGACGAGGTTTACTTCTGCTATAGGCTTCCTCTTCTTTCGTTTTTTTTTTCCACCTAAAAGCTGGCCCGACTTCTTCTTAAAAGTGTTTGTGTAAAATGAAAAGTTGCCCTCATTGTGTCCTCAAATTAAGCAGTGTGGCTAATAATAGCAAAAAAAATACATAGAGGGAATTTCAGATTTTACTTTTAAAATGCGATATGGAAAAAGCATTCCATATCAGTTCCTACAAATGTCCATAATGTCAATCATTTCCTTCCACCACACCGCTGACGGGCGACTTCTCACTTTCTACTTCTGTTTGTCCTCTCAGGCAATGACTCAAGTGTTGATGGCCTTGTGAACTTTGAGAAGCTGAGGATGATCGCGAAGGAGATCCGACATGTGGTGCGGATGACCTCAGCCAACATGGACCCCGCCCTCATGTTTAGGCAAAGGTCGGTTGGTTTGACACTGCAGCACGATTAACCATTTAAACCGGTTTTAGGAGCCGGGTCTGTGATGAAATGACAAGGCTGTTTGTGCAGATTTATATGTATTTGCTTATGGCATTATACATTATATTGTAGAATTTCTTACTTAGACAACGTCCTCATCGGGGGAGCATATGATTGAATTTTGTATTTGCAAAAAAGCATCCTAGTGCACAATAACAAGCTAAACTGCTTGTTATTGTGAATCCACAACTTCCCTCATATTTCTTCAAAACTGAAGCAGAAGCGTGTAAAAAGACTTTCCCACCGAAGGCTACAATGTTGGCAAAAAGGGAACCGCACCACCATACTTCCACCAGCCAACCTTGATCCTTCACCCAACAGGATCAGGCACGCACTGAAGGTCTGGTTCAATCAATTCCCGTTCACTTCCTGTCCGGTTCATGGCTCTCTGTGTTTGCATTGCATTCCTCTGCTGGAATGTAAGCACACAATGACCCAAGTTATGGACTGAATGGAAATGAAGGTAGAATTGATGCCAGCCGCATTGTGTAGTTGTTATCACTCGGTTTGTGTGTGTGTGTGTGTGTTTAATCACAGTCTGTCACTGCTACGGTGCATGACTGCCCCCTGCAGACACTCCCTTCATACTGCAAACCCAAAATATAGCGCAAACTTCAGTTCTATACACAAGTCACATATTTAAAAAAACACAACACAATGTGCCAAATGCACAAAGTCATAACACACACTCTTCAGGTTGACACGGGGAGATGTCCACTGTTTGGTGTCCTCCCATCTCCGGTCATTTCCTGTTTGTTTGTTTGTTTGTTTGTTTTTTGCGGCATGACCTCTACATAGTCTTGTCTCCTCCTCTCCCCTGACCCCTGAACTTGTCTTTGAGTCACGCTTCAATCTTCACGCCTCTTGCTTGCAGGAAGAAGAGGTGGAAGAGTTTAGGGTAAGTTTGTCCTGCGTACCAGATTCATCCTGTTTCGGTCTGGCCCGGCAAAAGTTTGAATCCTCCCTGCATCCCTGTCATCATAAACTCTGCATGTCTCGCCATGCTTTATATGAGCGTCCATGTGTCTGCCTGTGCTTGTTCATGATTAACCCTCCTGTTTGCATCACACGAACCACACTAAAGTCCCTTATTGACCCATTAATTGTCTACCCTACTGACGAGAGTGTATGTTGAGTCATATAGTAGCTTGAAATGGTGCAGAGCGTTTCTTAACACATTCGCAGCTACCAGTGAAAATTGGCTAAATGATGAATTGCTGCTATTCAACTGCAGATTCAAGTTTAAGTGGAATATAAGTAGATAGTTATAATGCAAAGCTTCTTGCCTGGGTTGCCCTGCCTGGAAACAGCAGGAGAGTAATTAGATCTCATTGTTCCATTAAGTTCCTGTCCTGCAGCATTCATTTATATCTGATTGTCTTCATCAGCAGGTGAAGTTTGTTCAGTAACATTTCCATAACAATGCACAACGGCTGAAACGAACTGGAAAAAACTGCTACGCTTCCATAGCAACTACAAACTCCATCTGCTGATGTGGCTCTCGTAGTACGATCGGAAACATAAGAACAGCAACAAAATAGCACTTAAGGGTGGATCAGTTTATCACCTTTGTACCTCAGCTCACAATCCTGTAGAACAAACTCCACCTCGCTGCAAAAAAAGGCAACGTAAAACGCACCGGTGTGTATTTTAGTGATACTATTTGACTCAGGTTTGGCGTTTGTTCATATCTGCATCATGGCATAATATTCCCAGTATCGAATATTGTGCGTTGTTTGTTTCTTAACCCTTTTTGCCTCCATCTGACAAAATGTTCTGCTGTTCTGTACTGTGATAGCATGGCACACCAGGGAGTGCTGCCTCCCTCCCAGTTGCATGATCCTTTTTTTAAAATGCTATGCTCCAAAACGGAGGCAGATGTACAGATTTTGTAGTAAAAGCTGTATTTGGTAAGACGGAAGACCTTAGTGTTTTTTTTGGTGATTAAATTGACTGTGTTGCATTTTTTTCCTCCATGCCCTTTTTCTTCTCTTACACATTTATCTTCCTTTCCTTCTTTCTGTTCTTTGCGGCTCCCTCCTCCTCCACCTTTTCTGTTACTTCTGTTCAATTTAACACACTTCTTCCATCTCTTCTTCCTCTCACTGTCTTTATTATTCCTCTACCTTTTCGTCCTTCCTCTTCCTGCCTCTCTACTATCATCTTTTAGGTCTTTGAGTCAGGGCAGCACTAATTCCAATATGCTAGACGTGCAAGGCGGAGCGCACAAGAAGAGAGTACGCCGAAGCTCGCTCCTCAATGCTAAGAAGCTGTACGAAGACGCTCAGATGGCCAGAAAGGTGAAGCAGTACCTCTCTAACCTCACAGTGGAGACGGATGAGGAGAAACACCAGATCATGTCCCTGCAGTGCGAGCCGTCTTACAACACTTGTAAGTAAATCAGAAACTAAGAGGGAATCGCTATTTGGGTTTTTTGATTTAATTAGAAAAAGTATTTAGCGTGCTATTATCCCAGCAAGCATGCCCATGCAGATTCACAGGGGCTGCGTGGGCAGGGCAAACTTACACTTTTCCCATGGAGGCCCAAGTGAGTGTACCCACGCAGGGCCCACAACAGTTTGTGCTTTGGGGTCCCAAAAGGGAACTCTGTGGGCAACCAATAGCTGTCTTACCCACAGAAAACTCTCGCTGGCCCCGCCTGTGGGTCAACCTCGCATCCCTGCACTAGATAACTGTGGCTTTGCTCTGTACACACACCCCCACAGTTTACCCACAGCTATCCACTGTGGACCCACATAGCTGGCTCAACAAGGAAAAGCCATACAGGGAGATGTGACTAGTGTGGAGAAGATTAATGCATGTTTTATTACACTGTTAGATATGTGAGGCTCAGTGAAGTTTAAGACAGACTTTTTTGATGGGATTTGAGTTTATTCAAGCGAATGGCACTTTCAGCCTTTTATGGCTTTTTCAGCTCATTGGTCAAGCCGGCGACCTACATGCTGAAAGGCAGCAGGGGCTCGGATTTGATTTCGCCCTGGATCGTTTCCTGTATCTCCCCCTGTATCTCGCTTTCTCCCTACTTTACTGTTTACTCTCCACCACTGTCCTGTTCAATAATATAAAAATAAATAAACAAAAATAGATGTCCTGCACTGCCATCTAGTGGATTTTGGTAATGTTGTCAAAAATAGCAGGATTATTGGTTAGTATCATCGATTTTGGTACTTTTCTTGGTATAGGTAACTAAAGGTTCAAATAAAAAGCCCACATCAGATGTCGATCTAAACATCATTATTGCTTTATTACACTGGCTTCATGTTGGATGCAGTTTTGCCTTAATGACTGTGATATTTCCTGCCAATTGCAACTATAAAATACACTAATTATTATTTTACATATATACTGTTTATAACATTATTTTTGTCGCCTTCTTGTGATTTTAGTGTCTAAGAATTTGAATGAGAGGCGATCCACTAAGTCGGATATGTCTCCAGTCTCGCTGCGGTCAACTCTGCCCTCCGGAAAAACACAAAACAGGGTGTCACAAGTCCTACAGGTCCAGGTCCCACTGAACCCTCTACGAAAGAAGAGCACTGCCAAGGACATAGCCTCACTTAGTGAGTACACGCATGTTTTATTTCTCATTAGGCCATGTAATGTAACTTTTTATCATCATGTAGGAACTTTACTTTTTAATAGACTTGTGTGTTTCAAAGATTAATAAGTGACTAGTTTTATGGTTATTGTAAAGTTGCCAACGTGCACAAAATTCAAAATGATTTCAAACTTGTTTCTGAGAAAACAGTCGGGTTGTCGTTAGGGCTGGGCTATATCATACCGTTCACAGTAATACCGGTGTAATTTTGGGCAACGATAGGAAAATGAAATGTCGCGATAGAATATGGGTAAAACGCGCATGCGCAGTGCCTTTGTTTACATACGCACATGGCGGTGAC